AGATATTTCTGGCACTTAAATCATCAGTGTTCTGCACTCACAAACTTCCTTCTAACCCATTCTAACATGCTCTGGGTGATTACTTCAATTAATTAATGAATTAACTGATGATACTGTTGGGACTCTAGGCCATTGTTCATAGTAGACAAGTACTCCATCACTGAAAGACAAACACAACACCTTAGGATCTCTCAGGCTCCCCTGCTACCCCACTCCCCGCCGCCTTTCTCCAGTACTGGGAACTGAACCCAGAACCTCACACATTCTGGGCAAGGAATCTATCACCAAGCCACATCCTGAATGCCCTCACAATTACCTCTTACCCATGTCCTTTCCTGCTTCTATAGTTTCTGGGGGCTTGCGCGTCTCAGTACTAAGGCTAACACTTCAGTTGGCACCGTGTTTAGTAAATCTAACCCTGGATGAATCTTGTAATGTCTGCCTCAGGTTCAGAGGCAGAAGCAGTATGACGACTGCATAAAGTATTTGAAAGCAGGGGTGAACAGGTCTCTGAGTGACAGAAATGTGAGAAGGAAGAGAGAAACAGATAACAGTGTCATATGGAAAACCAAGACAGAGCTTGATATCTGCATTTCAGACGAACAAGTAATTTTAAGCAGGTCCCTCATAACTCTTGGAAGATAGCTTTATTAGGAATTTTCTGTAATTCTTCTGAAACTCCCTTTAACTAGGCATGTCTTTTATTTTTGCCTGCTTTCTTTTGTACTGCATTTTTATTTACTAAAGCTGGCAACTCTAAGCAAGAAAGGACAGATAGACTTTGCCCACACTGTCACCTGCCAAGACTCACAGGAAGGACTGATGGGGACTTCTTCTGTATATTAGATCATTTAAATTTCTGCTGAAGGAATTTGATTTTCCTCAGGATAACATCCTTCACAAGAAAAATACTTCATGGCTGTAAACTACATTTTACATTTCCTTAAAAAAAATCTTTCAGCTTTCAAGGGACTAAGGATGAAAATGGAGATTGCAATATTGTAACACTATCGCTGAGACAGTTATACTGAGATTTTCCCACAAAGCTCCCCTCTATCCAGGTTTCCCTCAGCTCTTGTCTACCCCCTCTGCTTTTCTTTGTTGGCTCTTCATCTCTTACAACCTGAGATCTGTGGTTGGCACTGGCTCTTAGGGCAAATCCAGGTCACCTTGGGCCAAGTTTCTAAGGATTTTCCTTGATTAAGCTGAGCCTAAAGTATCAACCTGTTACTCCTCCGGGTACAGATTTCCTCAATGAGACTCTTGTGTGCCTGACAATGTTACTTTTATTTGCCGGGTAACCCACTGTAGATATTTGCACGGCTCTGCACAAAGTGTTAGCAGCGTTTGCTTTCTGTCACTGTTTCTCTTCAGTAACCAAGAAAGCAAAAAACAAAGTACAACTAAATGCTTATTCAGAAAGAAATTTGATTGTTCCTTAAACCTGCTCCAGGCAGCAGATATAGACGTTTGAGTGATGTGGAAAATATGGAAAGTACTTGGCTGGTACACAAAACTCAAGCGGATCTGCCATGAAGGCAAAGTAGAAAGAGGAGCCCCAGAGTCAAATACATTTCTGTGTGAATGAGCATAGCGCTGCCTCTGGCTGCGGAAGGGCGGAGAAGTCTCAGAAGTGAGGCTGCTTACGGGCAGGGGGCGATGACACAGATTTGCTTCAAGGACTGTCCTCAATTGTTGGCTGATTGATCGAAAAAGGCAAATGTGGCCTCTCATCCCTGCCAAGTGTTTGCTTCTGGCCGGGCTCTCCCTGGGTATCTGGAGTTGTGGACGCTCTATGGCTTCACCTGCTGCTTTGTGGGGACAAAGCTGGCGTCTTGCAGACGCTGCCACTCGTTGTTCCGGCTGTCCTGAGTGTATAAACCCTGTCGCCCCCATCTGCCCAGCCACCTGCCTCCTTGTCTTTAAATATCTTCCTTCGACCCCACCCACCGGCCTCCGAGTGCTGCCACAACGGGCTCTCCCAAGCTGCGCTGAAAATGCCTACATGTCGTTTCTCTAGAAATGACCCGAGTCAGCCTGTTCTTCACTGACTTGGTCACGTAGCTTAGTAATCCCCGACCCCAGCAGTCTGAATGCTACTCTAAACTTTATTAGAGTTCTTGCAGTGTGCCGAGCCTGTATTCCATACCAGACATGCCTAGTTTTGTTTTATCCTTTTGTGAAAACTATGAGATACACAATTACCCTCCTGTTTCACAGGCAAGAGAGCAGAGCCTGGGAGGCTAAGGAACTTGAAGAAGGTCAAATAGCTACTTAATGACAGAGCTAAGATTGGGATTGGAACCCAAAGGGTCAAGCTGCAGGTTTAGTCGTCCCCCCGAACCCCCAGTCCCAGACCAGACAGGGTTTCTCTGTGTAGCCTTGACGTCCTAGAACTTGTTCTGTAGACCAGGCTGGCCTCAAACTCAGAGATCTGCCTGCCTATGTTTCCCAAGTGCTGGGATTAAAGGCATGCAATACCTCTGCCCAGCTTCTGTGACCCAAACACAAGGCTAGATAGCTTCATTATTTAACACTCCACAGCCCAACAAGTTCACATTGTGTACTTGGTATGATAGGGGCAGAGGATCACAGAGTTCAAGGATTTTCCTGTGATTCAGTCTAATCTAGGTAGGAGGTTGGATTTAGCTCTATAAAGCCCTGGTGTTCACCCCACCACCACCACCCCAGTGCCCCACCTTCCACAGAGGACGGCTGACACTTGTCCTGAGATGGAGAAAAGAGTGTATCAGGCTCTAAGAAGCAGCAAAATGCTAGGTCCAAGTCCAGTAAATACAGATATTTGCTTCTAATTGTAGGACTTCTAGAGCCTTTAACACATCACACAGTGGGCACTGGAAGCCTTCAGAAAGAGGTTTACTAGGCAATCTCTTCAAATTTATTTGACCATAAAACTTTAAACAAAACAACTTAAAAAATACCTTGTAATTACTCTTTTTGCAGTAGCATTTTTTGCATGGTACAAACTCAGAACCACTTGCAGAATATAAATTGGAGACCATTTAAGGGTGACACGTGCTGTTAAGAATATAGGGAAAAGGACAGTCATTGTTACTGTGGCTATTTTCGAGTTCCCAGGTAGTAACAAGGTTTCTGAGAACTTCTGGGGTTGGTAAACTGTGGAATTTGCCAGCTCCAAGCAATGCAGTACCCAGGAGCCATTAGCTCCAAGAGTCTCCTGAATTAATGTTTGTTACTCTGTCTGAACTTTGTGGGTTTTGGGTTTCTTATTGCTGACTTCTAATGTGAGTTTGAGTATTTCACAAGCTAGCTGCTCGTTAAAAGCCAATAAAAGAGAACTCAGGGCGCCAACCTGAGAACAGGTAGGTGGCCACCCATTTAGTTGGGCACTTAACACGACTTGTTTCCTTCACACCTCCCCACAATTGTAAATACTCTTAGAGAAGTCTCCAAAAGCCCCTATGTGGTCTCTCCCAGCAAAGATTAGGGGCTACCTTGTGTGAACAGTGGCACTTCCTAGAGGTGACTGACTCTTGGCGCTGCTATCTTGGTCTCTTGAGTTGCAGGCTGGTGTCACTTGGATGAAGGCTGGCCCTGTGGGAAGGCCACTGGAGAGAAGTCAGCCTGTGTGGGAGTGGACCACCTAAAAAAGGTCTTGCTGTTCCAAATAGACATTCAGAGGAGTACTGATACCAGCTAACATCAGATTGAAACCTCATGAAAGACCCCAAGTGACAATTTTCCAGTCAGAGTTATTCCCAACTTCCTGGTCTAGAGGGGTGACCACTGTTCTGTGTACCTAAGTGATTTCCTAGCAAGAAGTCAGGAACACAGCTGCTATTACACACTCTCTCCTTTGCAAATGAGAGGTGGACTCCCATAAGTTCACAAACTCACTTCTCTCCTCATGAGACAAAATCCTGCTCCCGAAGTCTGCATCAGTCTCCAGAATTATATTTCTGGCCTGATCTATTCATTGTGGCAATACGGAAATACAGCTAGGTTTTGAGCCTGTCTGCACTTTACTGCTCATACACTTCAGCTCCTTAGGGAGTAATATCACCTACCTGCTCGGAGATGACATAATTTAATATATTAAAACTTCAGGGAGAGTCTAGGCACTGGCTATTTGGAAGTTCTCCCTACCAGGGGCCTCACTCAGATGGTGAGGGAAACAAAAGGTCTGCCCAGCCAACAATCTGTCATTCCCACCCTGAAGAGAATTAGCTCATCAGGATCCAGTCCTAGCTGGCAGGAGATTGAGGAGGCAAACTCTTTGCTTGAAGAGCAAAGGACAGAAAGACATAATTTCTGAGTATGGGTTACACTGGGAGCAGGTAGTCTTGGCTGGATGCCCCAGAGAACTTTTCTAATAGCATTTGAGGGCCCAGAGAAAGCAGGAGGGTGGCCTAGCAATGGCAAAAGAGGGACCTCTCTTTTGAAGGCTGTCTTACCATACCCCATCAACAAAGATGCCTGTATTCAGCATCCTCCATGTACTCTGCTACTTCAGGTTTGGCCAGGAGGGACCAAGCAAAGTGTGCAATAAATTTTGTGGTTTGAATCAAAAAAGCTTCCTGTCATCTTACGTTTCGAATGCTTGTTCCTTAGCTCTGGCTCTATTTTGGTAGACAGTGGAACCTTTAGCCTAGTGGTGGAAATAAGTCATTAGGGGTGGACCTTGGACATTGCATACCCTCTCTGTTCTCTGGTTTCTGGTCTCTTGTGGCGTGGAAAGCCTCCAAGAACTCACCCCTGCTTCCATGAAGTTATCTGCTCTTCCCTGCCTTGCAGTGATGATTCAGGGACCAAGGCCCCTGAAATCCTGAGTCAGAAGAGAACCCTTTTCCCTTAAGCTGTTTCTGTCAGGGGTTGTCATGGCAACACAAAGTAACCAATGCAGTAATCCTCTTTTTGTACACTGTAAATATGTGTTACTCTCATTGGTTAACAAAGAGCTGACTGTCCTATAGCTGGGCAGGAAGAGATTGGGGTAGGAAAGCCAGATTAGGAGAATGCTGGGAAGGAGAGGGGTGGAATCTGGGGAGTCCCAAGGAGATGCAGAGAAGCAGGAGATGAACATGTTGTGCTGAATAAAGGTACCGCCATGTGTCAGAGGGTAGATAAGAAATGTGGGTTAACTTAAATTGTAAGAACTAGTTAGTAGTAAACATAAGTTATGGGCCAAGCATTTATAATTAATAAATCTCTGTGTGGTTATCTGGGACTAGCTAGCAGGACAGAAAAGCCCACCGTGTGTGTGTGTGTGTGTGTGTGTGTGTGTGTGTGTGTGTGTGTGTGTGTGTAATTATTTAAACTCAGAGACACCTGTTTGGCCTCCAGCATAAACAGTACCTTCAGACATCCATATAAATCAAAGTTAAAATATCTTGCTCTAGTTATAAAGCTAAATAGAAGCAAGGATCAGCCTAGAATTCAAAACCAACTTGTCATTGCTGTATTTGATCAAACTGATTGGTTTTTGTTTGAAAACTAAACACCTCACTTCTTCCAAGATTTTCCTAATTAACATTGACTATCTTTGCCCAGCTTGAATTTCTCAAGCCAATACATATTCTGACAGGCTAATCACCTCAACACTTTACTAAGCAAGTTTTCTTGAACATCTACTATTTGCTAACCACAGTTTGTTAAGAAATTGGCAATGGATGAATTGCAAGACTCACTGATTTTAAGGCGGCCTGTTTGGAGGTGGAGGAAAGGTGGCACTGAGTTTATGGCCAATGATAAATTAAATTACATGTTAAGCTAAAAGGTAAAGGTGATATGGAAAGGAACAGAGATAGGGCTTGTCTAGGGACAATCCCCCTGGAGAGATGACACTTTCCCAAGTCCCAAAAGATGTGAAGAAGTGAGCTTAAAGCTCTGTTGTATTGCTGGAAATGAGTATCTGGTTCTCCTGTCTGCAGTTAGATTCTTCTGTCATGTACTAAATTGTTAAGCGTTGTGTTTCGTCTTTTGCTTCCTTTGGGTACACAATAAATGCCTTTGGCACGGTGTTCTCGTTCCACAGGTTTTTAATAAATGCTTGTTGCACATTCTGGTTAAAGTCATTTTCTCACTATTGCCCGTTTTAGGCAAGAAATGAAGGGGAAACTACTGTAGATTGGTATTCTGTCCAATAGCCTAAATTACTTAGAATGTACAAACCAACATTTTGCTGGATAATCCAACATTCTGGGTTAATATTCTTAGCCCTCCATAAACAGCATATCTAAAAATATTTGCAAATGTCTTGGCTTTTCTTATCAAAACAGGAAGCCTCTATAGTCACTAAGCTGTGTTTATTCACCTCCAAATCCCAAACTGGACCCTACCATTAATTTTAGCAATTATGATCTTTGGGAGCTCTGACACCCTTTGGAAATGATCTCCTGCCTTTGCTAGAGACAACTTGTTATTCTTAATAATATCCTATGCCACCTAATATGAAGGTTTCTTGAACCCATAGGGACAGAACAGCCCATGGCTCATTACTTGTCCTTCTTTGACTTTTGAGAAAAAAAAAAAGATGCTTCACAGCTCCCAGCTCTGCTTTCCAATTTCCTTTTGAAAAGAATTCTTGCTTTCTCAATGAAACCTTGACCTTGCTTGATCTCAGGGCTTTTCATTAGGAGATACGACTTGAGCTCATTTTATTTTCTCTGACTTTTGTTTTGAAGAGAGAGGTTGAAAATGAAAAGAAGTTACGACAATGCAGAGGATCCTCGGGATTCTGAGGAAAATGGCATTTTGAAAATTGAGCAGGAAGTCAAGGCCGGAAGACAGTGGCCGCCGCTGACTTAATATGACACATGGGAAATGGAGACGAGGTAACATCTTAATGAAGCTGAGGGGTCTGGGAAGGCAGAAAGTGCAATTCCTGAAGGATAGCTGGTATCAACTGTAAGAAAAGCAACTCTAAGAGCTTTGTCAGATAGGGGAACAAAGGCAGCCAGCAGATATTATAATGACATGCGTGTATCATGATTCATGGTTTGCTTGTACTGTTTTAGAATATCGCTTCATGCATCGTGTCATTAACAGTTTTCAAACATGTCTCTGTGGATGCTTTATTCCTCATTTGGGGAACCAGGCATCCCATCAACACTTTATATGTTAGATGCAGTCAAAAGCACTGTCTTCATTCTTTCCACACTGTGTACAACAGGACCCAAGTGTGTTGAGGAGAAAAAGCAGTGATTTCTCTCTGTGTAAGACCTTGATCAAATTTTTTGCCTTTATAAGCCATATTTCCTGTAGCTAATACAGTAGTAATAATACAAACATTATATGATGCCTGGGAATGTAACCATAAATAAAGGAGACCAGACTCACTTTTAACTATGTGTGTGAGTTCTAATCCTGACGACAGTCCTATGATGGAGGTATCATGGATTACAAAGGAGAAAATGAAGCACAAAGAGATCTAAGTCATTGGCCCAAAGCCACTTAATGGTAGAAGTAATATCAGAGATTCGCTTGCCCATTTGGAAATACTCCCATCACACTTGCTGCTGTTTAAGGAGCTGAGTGATGGATTTCCTTGTTGGTTGTTATCAGAGAGCCTGGGGGTACATTCATGCCTTTGTTGCCATCTCTAGGGGATGTAATAAATATGGCAGTCAAGTGAAGTACTTTATTTAAGTCATCCAAACATACCAATGGTTTGTTACAAGGCACCAGAATCCAATGCCATGCTTTCCATTCTTTAAAATTATGAATTATGTTCACGTACTATTTTGATGTTTGAAGAAAAGTATAGAGAGCCAATGGCTATTTGGAGGGAAGAAAAAACTAGATGGGAAACAAATGGAATTTATTTATAAGGAAATTAAGATATGCTGTTGGTTGCATGCAACATCAAAAGCATTTTATGAAACAGAGGGCTGGAGGTAATGGATCAGTTATGCGTGGGCAGCAAAGGCTAGAGGATAGAACAGGACTCTTTGGAGCCTTTCAATTCCAAGCTCTGACTGTCGCTTGTTTGTTATGCAGGAAAAAAGGTATTACTAAATTCACCAGGCATATTTCCTCTTCTATACACAGGAGCAAAACCAATGCCTAGCACACAGAATTTGACGACTATTCAAGCCATTAGTACATACAAACACCCAGCACAAGGCATGTACCACTTAATGTGTTATGTGTTCCTATTGTTATTTGGGTTACATTTGGATGCACATGAGTTAAAAAACAAAAGGTTGGCCACTGCACTAACCATCACTCTGACCCATTTCCTCTCCTGGAAGTACTCCCTTAGAAACTTCTCTCTATTTCTACTACCATCCGTGTACTGCTGGCCTCAGTCCTTCCAGGACAGAAGAAACCAGAAACCCTAGCAGGTATCCCCTAGACTCCAATCTGTGCCTGTAACAGTTGACAAATTACCAACCAGGAGGTATGATTTTAAAAACAAATGAACAAAAATGGACTGAGCGTGTGGATCAGTTTGTAGAGTGCTTGACTGGCATGCATGAAGCCTACAATTTAATCTCAGGCATTTGTAAAAACAGGCATGGGGACTTGCATCTGTAATCCCAACATTCAGGAGGTGGATACAGCATCAGAAGCTCAAGGCCATCTTGCCAAAATTAAAAAAAAAATTTCCCCCTGAAATATGATACACAGGACTTTAGGAAAGCTGGCTGACCGAGTTGTTTCTAGCCTTCAGCAATGGAAAATAGAGCTGCTGTGAGCATACACATGACCACCTTTTCATTCATTTGACAGGGAGTGGTATAGCAGAGCTGTCAAACGTGTGGGCCCCACAGTCCAACAGTTCTAAAGTGGTCCCTTGGTGATGTCACTTATCTCATTGTTCTTTTCACACCACTCTTGCTATCTGTAAGCCCATGCACTACTCACGTGACTAGGAAGTCATTCTTCACAGAGGACACACAGCTTGTGTAAATGGCAGAGCTGGGATATGAACCCATATCCAGTTATACCTAGCCCTGTATCTTTCTTCATTATTTTATTCTGTCTCCTAATAAGTGGATTAAAAAGGGAAACATTATGGGATTAAGTACCTCTTCCATGTGGATCACTCTGTGTGTGTGTGTGTGTGTGTGTGCGCGCGCGCGCGCGCACAATTGCTTCAAACCTCCGGTTAATGACTTTACTGGTAGAGGACAGGAGTCTACAATGGAAGACAGAAGGCATGCAACTGGAGCTCAGATATGGAAATCTTCATTCATAACAGAGTCTGGCTCTATCATTCAGAAGCACACTTAATTCTCAAGGAGCACCCCTTTCCAGCTTGTCCCTCAGTTCCCCAACTCAACCAAAAGGACAATAGGCCCACTACGGATACCTTAGAACTTTCCACTACATTCTGGAAAAATCTAGCCAAAAGGAAAGAAAAGAGAGAGAGGCATAGGCTTATTAAATTTCTTTCGGGCTCCTCCCTCCCTGTTCTCCACCCTGCTGCCTAACTCGTTTTAATTCCTCCTGAGGGAGTCAATGGGTATTTGCTGATTTGCTTGGCACAGTCAAGGGTACTTTTTAGAAAAACAAAGTCAAGAAGAGCTGTATGGCCCCCGTGACTTGGACCATTGGCCAATAGTTGTTTTACTAAGTGCCGATTCTCCCTGTGAAGCTGAGTTAATGGAGGTGGGGAAAAAAGTCAGGCTCAAACAAGGAGCTATTCAGATGTGGTATTCAAAATACAAAGGTAACAGAGAGTTTCTGTATCGAGTCCTGCTGGGCCATGTTCATTGTCAGTCAACGGAGTACAGTTTACATCCATACAGTAAAGCTATTCAGAGACCCAGCAAATGGAGAAAGATGGTTTCTGCTCCTGGCTTCTGCTCCCAGCAATCCCCTGAGATGGACAGCTCCTTTGCATTTTGTCGAATTCCATTGTTAAGACTTGAGTCTGACCTAGAGTTGTATTGATTAGTAACAGGTTGTGTTCCTTGTCTCCTCTTGCTTTCCGAAAGGAAGGATTATGGGGACTGGAAAGCAAGATGCTAACAAGAAATGAAGGCTGGGACTGGGAACTTTCTGAAATACAGAACAAAATAGGAACTGAAAGGGACACAGAAAGCTGTGTAAATCATGGATTTCAAAACAAAGCAACAGTTAATGACAAATGCTTGCAGCAATAAAATGGAGACACATGGTTCCTAGAATCCCATGCTGGATAAATGCTACTGAGAATCTCTGAGCATGGGTGTGAGTGCACAGAGGCACGTTTGTATATGTTAAAATGAATGACCCTACCAGAAAGATGGTCTGCAGAGCAGTAACTAGAGAATACGGCACAATGAGGATCAACGGCTGAAGCAGCAAAGCCCAGCTGAAACTGCAACCAGTTTGCCTGTGCAGAGCACACCAGCTCCAGCAAATGAACCCTGTGGCATGTCGGCTTCATACGTTTGAGATACTGCTCAGACCCTCTTCCAGACAAAAACTGAGGGAAAATTAGCGGTGTTTCCAGTAACTTGCAGAGACACAAGGACAGGATAAACACTGAACTATATCAGGGAGGGACAGGGGACAACGCATACTGTTCAGCCGTGACTCAGGAATAAGCCCCGCTCGCAAGACCGGGAGATAAAAGCAGGCAGGAACAAGGATGCTAAGGGGTTTTCCCTTGGGACACTTGAGAAATTTAAGGCAGCAAGAGAAAACGGGTGCCATCAGGGAGAACCAGCAAATGTGCAGCCTGCACATGTGCTGTGACCAGAGAGCTTGCCAGGTGCGAATCTCTGCACTGGAAGCTGCGGAGTCTGAGTGATGTGGGCATGTGCTCACCACGCAGATGCGCCAAAGCAACTGAAGCTGCAAAGTAAGAGATGGGTGTATTCAGATTGGACGGAGCTCCACTCCCCTCATGGAGGAGAGGAGAAAGTCAGCCCTCTTAGATTCTGGTGGACTCACATCCTGAACCCTTTCAATGCTACCAATATCCTTCCTTCCTTCCTTCCTTCCTTCCTTCCTTCCTTCCATTTTCTTTTTGTTTCCTGTTTTTTCTTTTTGTTTTGTTTTTTTCTTCTTAGACAGAGTATCCTATAAAAACCCAGGTTAGCCTAGACTCACCATGTCGCTCAGACTGGTCTCAAACTCATGGCAATCCTCTTACCTCAGCTTTCCAAGTGCTGGGATCACAGGCATGTCTGGCTTGTTATTTGCATTGTCAGTCATGCCTCTCAACTCTCCTATGAAGTAGCCATTAATAAGATCCATCTATGATATATACATGTTCAGCTGCCAGTCAAGTCACAACAGCTAGAACCAGGCAGTGTTAGACCTAAACAGCAGCTCTGTTTACTACAGGGTTCCCTTAACAACCTGGGAGAAGGACTGAGGGCTTAGAGACTTTCCTAAGCTTTAAATAATTTGGTTTCAAGAGCTTCATTTAATTGTGGTGGAATATTAGTTGAAGATAAATTACATTCATTTATGCTATGGAATATTTGTTTAATGATGCAAAGATGTGTTGCATTCTTTTATGTTGCATTTGTTTAACTCTGTAAAGCTGCATTACTTTGTCTGCCTAAAACACCTGACTGATCTAATAAAGAGCTGGATGGCCAATATCTAGGCAGGAGAGAGAAACAGGTAGGATTGCCATGTAGAGAGAATAAATAGGAGAAATCTAGGCTCAAGAGGAGCGAGGAGTGAGGAACCAGAAAAGGAGGGGAGTTTGGACACCAGCCAACAAACCACACAGTAAGAAGTAAAGAAAGGTATACAGAAATGGAGAAAGGTAAAAGCCCAGAGGATAAAGATAGATGGGATAATTTAAGTTAAGAAAAGCTGGCTAGAAATAAGACAAGCTGGTCATTCATAAGAAAGAATAATTCTCCATATATTTATTATTTGA